AGCGCAGTCCAGGGCTGGCTGCCCTCTCTGCCTGTGGGGGCTCCACTCGTCCGCTCCAGAGCGACACTTCCCATCGTCACTTTAATACCTGGACTCACGTTGTTCTCCTTTGTGTTTATTCAGGATGGGGGTGGGCAGTCGTCCTGAGTCCACATCAGTCATCCTCCAAACGTCTCCCACGCGGGCAGACTCACCTCCCACGCAGGAAAGACGTCTCACGTGCCAGGACCCTCCATCCTGCCCACCTCCCTGTGTAGCTTCGGGTCTCTGTAGACCCTGTCTCCACATCTTCTGCCCCTGCTGCTGTGTTCTTTATTGAAATTAAATTTTATTTTATTTTTTTATTTTTAAATTTTATTTTTTTATTTTTATTTTTATTTCTTTTCTTTTTGAAAAAATATATTTTATTGATTTTTGATTTTTTTTTTTTTTTTTTTTTTTTTTTTTTTTTTTTTTTTTACAGAGAGGAAGGGAGAGGAGAGAGATAGAGAGCTAGAAACATCGATGAGAGAGAGACATCGACCAGCTGCCTCCTGCACATCCCCCACTGGGGATGAGCCCGCAACCAAGGTACATGCCCTTGACCGGAATCGAACCCAGGACCTTTCAGTCTGAGACCGACGCTCTATCCACTGAGCCAAACCGGTTTTGGCTGAAATTAAATTTTAATAAAGTTCTGCCAATCAATCATCTATCTGTCAGCTATCTACCTACACATCCACCCACCCACCTATTTATCTGTCCATCTGTCTATATATCTATCATCTATCATTCTATCATCTGTCTATCTACCTATCTACTTATCCATCTACCCAGTCTCTACGTCCATCTGTCTAACATCTTTCTATCATTCTATCTATCTGTCTATGTGTCTATCTATCTATCTATCTATCTATCATCTATCTATCTACTTATCCATCCATCCACCTACCCATCCACCCATTCCCTTGTCTGTCTGTCCATTGTCTGTCTGTCATCTACCTACGATTGCCTGTCTGTCATCTATCATTCTTTCTATCTACCTTTCAATCGATAAGTGAAAAACCATGTAGGTCAGTATGAGCATCAGAATCTGTAATACGTTCACAGCAATCTTTCTTATGTAGAGAATATCCCAAATTATTGCGCATGTAATAAAACTCCACGATCAAACAAACTCTGATTACAGGCCTTTAGTGACAGGGGTACTCTCTGTCTACCTGTCTGTCTATCCACCTACCTGCCTATGATTATTTGTTAGTCTGTTGTTCGTCTGTCTGTCTATCTATCTATCTATCTATCTATCTATCTATCTATCATTATCTTTCTATCATCTATCATCTATCTATCTATCTATATCTATCTATCTATCTATCTATCTATCTATCTATCTATTATCTATCTATCTTCTACCTGCCTATTTTTGCAAAGAAATCATTTAAAGTTTTATTGCCACCTTTTAAAATGGGCTCTCTCTCTCTGTAACTCAGGTATAAATGCTCCATGAAATAACCATTTGAAGTTTGGGGGCTATGTTTTATCTAACGGGAGGAAATCATTACGGCTTGTTAAGAATTAAAACTCTTGTTTATACAGCTGAAACCGGTTTGGCTCAGCGGTAGAGCGTCGGTCTGCGGACTGAAAGGTCACAGGTTCGATTCTGGTCAGGGCCATGTACATTGGTTGCGGCACATCCCCGGTAGGGGGTGTGCAGGAGGCAGCTGGTTGATGTTTCTCTCTCATTGATGTTTCTAGCTCTCTATCTCTCTCCCTTCCTCTCTGTAAAAACAATCAATAAAATATATTTTAAAACTCCTGTTTATACGAAGACTTTGTGATTTCTTTTGTGTGTATTTGAGGGGGATCAACAAGTTGACATACTCTTCACTCCTTGTTGTCCTGCTCCTGGTAGGTCCCTCTGGCTTCTGCTCTGAAACCCCCACTGTCTCAGGGGCCGCTCTGGGAAGTGGGGACCTGGCCGTCCCACCTCCCGTGGGCACGAGAGCCCTGCACTGGAAGTGCTCAGCCAGCAAAGCAGGTTTTGTGATGAAAAGTGAATCCATTTTCTCAGCTCAAACCCGGCTAGCAGGAGCGGGTGCTGGTGAAGAGTGAAGGCTCATGGTTGTGTAATGCCCAGATCCTGAGTTAGGAGCTCAGCCTGGAACGACCAGGAATTCCTGAGCTGCTCTGGGTTTCCTGTTCCTGTTTGTAACGAAGGAGCTCGGTTAGGGGATGACTGAGTAACATCCGGGTGCTATGTTCTGTCATTCAGGATTTTTTTAAATGTTAACAAAATTTAACACAGGAAGTATTGTGTGCTTTTGCAATTTATATTTTAACCAAATGTCAACTACAAATAAAATTTGTATTATACAAAGTTTAAAATATAAGAGAATATGAAAAAAAAAAAACATGTACTTGTCATTTGCTTTAAGAAATAAAATTTGGCCGGCCAGTGTAGCTCAGTTGGTGGGGCATCGTCCCAGGAACCGGGAGGTCCTGGCTGGGGTCCTGGTCAGGCACATGCCTGAGTTGTGGGCTTGGTCCCCAGTGGGGACAGGCAGGGGGCGCTGATCAATGTTCTCTCCCTCCTCACTCTGAAATCAATAAAAACATATTTAAAAAAGAAATGAAACTTGATTTGATTTTTATAGATTTGAAATGCTTTGGGTGAAATGATCCAAGGAGCACCAGCCACGTTGGAGTCACCGCTGACAGGAGACGGCTCCGCATTGTCCTGGCCGCGGGGTTCCGCGCCTGCGCCATTCGGGCTGACTGCCAGACGTCAGCTTCTGCGATGCAGGGTTTTTTTGAATTTATTTTAACACAAAGTTTTAATAAAATTTAACACAGGAAGTATCCTATGCTTTGGCAAATTAACCCTTTAATCAGACTGACATTGTGTCCACAGGGTTTACCATACAGAGGCTCGCACAGCAGACCGCGGCCCCTGCAGAGCCGGCGTCTCCTCGGGAAGATTCCTCGAGTCGAAGTGGCAGGACCAAAGTCGGAGCAGCACGTGCCCGGAGCACACCGTCCCTGAGTCTGGTGCCGAGGCCGCAGCCAGAGCCTCTGGCATCCTGGGCTCGGGCAGCACCTCTAGGCGGAGCTGGGTTTGAATTCCGGTTCTTTGCTCCCTAAGTGTGTGACCCTGGGCCTCAGCTTCCTAATCAATGTGCTCACCTGCCCTGACCAGTGGCTCGTGGTTGGGTTTGACTGCAGTCAGGGCACACACCTAGACCGTGGGTTTGCTCCCCAGTCAGGGTACATACGGAGAAAGCTTCTCTCTCACATCGATGTTTCTAAACTCTCTCTTCCTCTCTCTCTAAAAATCAATAAAAACATAGCCTTGGGTAAGGATTTTAAAAAAGTGAAAAAGAATAGAGCTAACCTTAGGCTGTTGTGAACATTACTGAGATGGTACTTGTGAATCTAAGAGCAGTGCCTGCCACAGAGACAGCGCAGTGAGTGCAGCTGTTACTGACACTCCTTTCCATCGCTGGTTACTGATGTCTGCTGTGCCGGAGTCTGCACAACACCCTGAAATGCTTTGGGGCTCAGTTGTGTCTGGTCTGCAAGCTGTGTAACAGCTCTAGACCCGACGGCGCGGCAGTCCAGTCCAGAGGCCCACGTTGGTCCAGAAAAAGGCTGTTGGAGTCAGAGGACACTCTGGACTCAGGAGGGCGGGTGAGCTGTACACAAGCCTCTACTCAGGGTGTTGCTCTCGCTGCTGGACTCCCTGGGCCCAGGTTTGGAGAGCGCCCTGTGATGCCTATGAAAACCCCTTAGACATTCAGAGAGGCGGCCTGCCTGACCAGTTCCTGTCTGTATTTATAAAAAGGCTGGTGGTGCATTTCCTTCATGCAAATAATTTTTGGCTCTTGCTAATATTCAGGAATATAGTGAAACTGCACATGTGATGCATGTGACCCATCGGCTCCAGCCCCCGCTGCTTTCACTGAAGGAGACACCCCAGAAGATGCTGCACCTTGACCGCTGATTTCAGTAAATAGGGAGTCGGCAGTTTACCGGAAAGGATGAGATGAGAAATATAATTATGGCAAGAGTGCCTTTTCCTATAAATTTATCATGGAAACGGCGTGGGAAGACGCGCCTTCTGCAAGCAGCTTCTCTGGGAGCTTCCTGGGAGCTATTCCACAAGCAGCCGGGACCTCAGTGGGCTTTGACCCCGACTGGGGTGATTGCTCTGGTGACTTTGGGTCACCACAAAGCCAGGTAGAGAATAGCGACCTGCCTGTGCCCAGGGGCTTTTGACAGATGTTGAATACTGGTCACTGATCCCTCCTCGGGCCCGTCATTTGCACGACTTTCATGGGAGAAGCCCAGGCAAAGGAGGGAAGTGAACCGGCGCTCCAGCTCCTCTGAAGGCAGAGTGAGTGCAGCCACATGGTGTAATGGTTAGCACTCAGGACTCTGAAGGCAGAGGGCCGGCTCCCGAGGGTGTCCGCCAAGAAGGGAAAGGCCTGAGCCTCCTGTCCTGTGCCCATGGCGAGGCTGAGGCTTCCACACACCCGGTCGGCTCGGTCCGCTCAGCCAGCGCTGCTCCCCGGACAGCGCAGGAGTCGGGGCAGCCTCGGCTCCCCAGAGGGGCCCAGAGTTCATGTTGGGCAGCATGGGCCTTCCTGTGGGGCAGAAACAAAATGCGCCCTCCGTCCTGCAAAGCCCAACAAGAGCACAACCAAGCCGCCCGGCTCTGCCTGCCAGGAGGTCTCCCGACCTGGAATCCGGAACAAAGGCAGGGAGTCCCGCGTCGGCCGCAGGGGGGCGCTCCCGCTCCGCTGGCGCGCGGGGCGTGGCCTCGGCGGGTGGGCGGGGCCTCGGCGCGGGGCGGGGCCGGCGGCCGGAGGAGGAGCGGCCCGCGCTGAGCCGGCGTCTCCGTGACAGGCGCCCTCGCCGCCGCCGCCGCCGCCGCCTTTTCTTCCCGGTCCGGCCGCCCCGCCGCCGCCGCCGCCGGCAGGAACTGCGGCCCAGCGCCCGGCGGCCCGCAGCCCGCGGGCGCCATGCCCAGCAAGACCAAGTACAACCTTGTGGACGACGGGCACGACCTGCGGATCCCGCTGCACAACGAGGACGCCTTCCAGCACGGCATCTGCTTCGAGGCCAAGGTGAGGGCGGGGCCCGGGCGGGCGACCGCCGACCTGGCCCCCTGGACCCGGGCCGCGGCCTCTGCAGAGGGCCTCTCTGTGCAGCCGCGGCTCCTGCCCCAGATGGGGGTGCACCCGCGAAGTTCCAGCAGGATTGCTCCCCCTCCCTGCAGACCCCCACCCCTCCCTCTGCAGGCCCGCCCTCCCCCCCTCCCCCCTCCCCCTGCACACTCCTGCCCCCCCCCTTGCAGGCCCTCCCCTCCCCCTCCCCCCTGCAGACCCTCCCCTTCCCCCCTGCGGCCCGTCCTCACCGGCCACACTGATGAAGTTACTTCCCAGACCCTCACCCTGAGAAGGACACCTGGTGGCTGGCACAGCCTGGTGGTCCTGGGCGGTGGGGAGCTCTGGCGTTATTTACCTGCCGATGCGGAGCGGCGCTTCAGGGCGGTTCTCAGGGGCTGCACTCCTCCCGGCAGATCTGCCAGCCCCCGGCAGGCAGGCTAGGCCCAGGGCCAGCGCTGAAGGGGCAGGGGGACACGTTGGCTAGTTTTGTGGCACAATGCTAAGTTTCAGCAGCTGGCAGGGCACACGCTGGTGAAGTCGGGGGGACTGGAAATCCCAGGCTGGGCCAGAGCCCCAACCTGCCCTTGGGGGGGGCAGTTGTGGCTCCTGAGCTGTGATACCCCCCTCCGGCCCCCGCCCGGGCCCCCCCGGGCTGTGCTTCTCCCTGAGGAGCCGGTTTCTGGTCTCAGCCGGCTCCCTTCCGAGGGCGCACCTCCGGACGGACAGCTGGTGTCCGGCCCCTGCCCCTCAGGCTGGGCGGATGCAGGAGGACCGGCCGTCAGGTGGCTGCCTCTTCCTCCGGAGACGCCGAGCGGCTCTGGCTGTGCAGGCTGCGGCGCTGGGTCTCCCGAGGCCTGTGCTGGGGACCTGCCGCCTTGGGCCTGAGCAGCCTTCCCCCGAGGTGGTGGCTGTGGCGGGCCCGGCCGGACCTCGGGCGCCGCGTGGCGGGCCCGGCCGGACCTCGGCGGTGCGGCCGGGCTCCCCTTGCTCTCTCAGGGCAGTCTGGTCGGTCCGAGGGGCGTTTGGGTTAGTTTTTGTCTGGCCTGTTGCTTTGGTGAGCAGGTTTTTTACATTTTAAAGTCTGAGCTCTCAGCACCGTCTTAGTGACTGAATCTCCTTGGACACACGCACGCTGGGAACTTGGCTTCGTCGTGTTTGGTTCACCAGCACTCCATTTTCAAGAAGGAGGGTAAGAAGAGAGAACATTTAAAATGTTTGTAAGCCTTGTTGTTCCTTTCTCGCAGTCTCTGCATGAGAACCACCAGAGGAAGCTCTGCTTTCTGGCACCCCGATTCTAACTGGGCGAGTCCTGGGGGAGCCCAGGGCTGTGGGCCTTAACGGGCCACCGTGCGACATGATGCAGGCGGCTGAGGCCGGCCTGGGAAGCAATGGGCTTGAAGTTTGCCTCCAACTTGTTGGGCCTTGCCCTCCCTCCCCTGGTGTCTTTGTGGGGTGTCTGGGGTGTCGGGGGGTGTCTGGGGGTGTCTGGGGGTGTCTGGGGTGTCTGGGGGTGTCTTTGTGGGGGTGTCTGGGGGTGTCTTTGTGGGGTGTCTGGGGTGTCTGGGGGTGTGCTGTAGTTCCTGTGGCGACCTCCTGGGCTCCCTGCCAGTGGAGCTCCATCAGGGGCTTCTGGCTGGGCTCCCTCACAGACCCAGACAGGGGACGCAGCTTCTGCTCTCAGCAGGATGGGGTGGAGGGGGAAGGACAGGCTGACTTTGAGGCCTGGATCCTAGTTCCCAGCTTCAGTCCTTGGTCCTGACACCTGCGTGTTCAAACCGTGTCAGCCAAGCCCCCAGCGGAAGCCCCTGGCAGGCGGGTCGCTGGCTGTTCCCACCCTCCCCGGCGCCTGCGGGACCACAGTCGCCGGCTCCGGGGCTGAAGGCCTGGCTTGCTCTGGAAAAGCACAGGCTGTAAAATGGAAATGCGCTGCTGCCGCCAGGCCAGGTACCCTTGGTGAGCGCGCCAGGCCCTCCCCCCGCTGGCAGGCTGGCAGGAACAAGCGGAGGCGGGACTGGCAGGTGTCGCTGGCTTCCCGGCTCCGCGGGGATGGAGGCCGTGGCCAGGTGAAGGGCACGGGGTCAGTCTGTGCAGGTCACCGCACACCGTGCTCAGCGAAGCAGCATCCCGTGCTTTTCCTGCACAGCCCCTCGCGGCCCTCGCTGTGCCCTGGCGCGGGTCCTCTTGTCCCGTAACCAGGCTGCGGGCTCGGGCGTGCTTTCCCACGTGCACGGCCACCCCGGATCGAAAGCTGGAGCTTTGACTTTGGACTCCCCGCCCATGGCTTGCCGAGCTGGGCTGGGCGGCTGAGCTCGGCTCCCTCCCGGGCCTGCTCTGAGTGCTGGGCTGGGAGCTGCCCTGGTGGGTGTTGGCCCTCGGTGCTGCCATGCCCTCCGTCCACGCTCCCCTCGGTGAGGACACCGAACGGCGGCCACCAGGCGCAGTGGAGCGTCCGCGGCCGCTGTGCCTCCGTCCCGAGTGGGTTCGATCTGCACGGACTGTCACACGGACGGACTTGTAGTGGGAACAGGACTGTTCCTGTTATCTGCCTTTTTTAAAAAAATTTTTTATTTTATTTTTAAAATATATTTTATTGATTTTTTACAGAGAGGAAGGGAGAGGGAGAGAGAGTTAGAAATGTCGATGAGAGAGAAACATTGACCAGCTGCCTCTTGCACACCCCCTACCGGGGATGTCCCCGCAACCAAGGTACATGCCCTTGACCAGAATCGAACCCAGGACCAATGCTCTACCACTGAGCCAAACCGGTTTCGGCTATCTGCCTCTCTTAGATTAAAACAGCGGGGATGGGGAGGGCCTTGGCGGAGCCACAGGCCTGCGCAGGCGATGGTCAAGCTGGTGGCTGGGAGCTCTGCCAGCCCCGTGATGCTCACGTGTGGCCGGGCCCTCACACTCACACTCACCTCGCACTCCGCTCACGGCCGCGGGGACGCCGCGCGGAGCAGCTGCCAGCCTGGGGAGCACCTCAGCTCCTCGGGGAGCAGGGTGGAAGGTGCGGTCCCGAGGGCAGGTCTTGGGCACCAGGTCCGTCGCTGCATCCGGCTCCCTGCACTCAGCGGGCTCCCTGCTGCTGCCCAGCAAGCGGCCTCCGGACCCGGTGGCCCCAGTGGCATCTGTCCCATTTGCCGGTGACTCGCGGGCGGGATTCAGGCGGGCGGGGCCTGTCGCACATAGAGCTGGCGGTCATCCAGGGCGTGTGCCGTGCAGCAGGGCGGCTGGGGGGCCCTTGCCGCTGGGTCCTTGGGCTCCTCCCGGCATGGTGCCCCCACCAGCAGCGGCTTTCGAAGCGGGTGCTTGGAGCAGTGCTGACCTCCAGGCGACCCAGAGTCCTGTTGGCCATCGGCCCGCGCAGGTTCCAGGGCGGGAGAAGGGGACGCTTCCTGCTTCTTGACAGGAGAGTCGGCTCCCTCTGTGAGAGCGCGGGGGGTGGTAGCGCGAAGCTGGCTTAGGTCAGTGCGCCACCAAGCGCGTGTCCTGCCTCTGGGTTCCTGGGCTGCGTGGCCTCGGCGAGTGACTTAACCCTCATTAGCATCCGACCTGTGTAAGGAGGACATGCCGGTCACAGCCGCAGCGGCGAGCGGGTCCCGCGTGTGAATGCCCAGCACGGGGCCCGCCCAGAGCCGCTGCGCCCGTTGCTGTCAGTCCCGGGAATCGCCGTTTAGTTTCCGTCCGGAGCTGTGACGCTCAGCGCCTGATGAGTCAGGCCATGGTACACGCCTGGTTAAAGATCTGGCCGTGGAATCACTCCGGTTCCTGAAGCTGCAAATCAGACAGCGTGACTGCTCTGTGGGCCTAAAATAGCTGTCGGCTCTCTGGGCAGGAATAAGGGGGTGGACGGGCGTCTGTGCCCTCCAGTCCCGTCAGGCTCGAACACCCGCACCTTCACGCCCTCTTTCTCTGAAGTTCTTGGGCAAACGTCTCTGTAAGCAGAAGGAGTCTTGTGTCGTGGGATTGAGGAAGACTTGTGATGCCTGCACTTCCCTTTCCAGTTTTTATGTCAGCATCGTGTCTCCTAGGCAGGCAGCAGCTGGCTCTCAGCACCTCGTGCCAGGCCCTGCCAGCAAGCCCTGCGCCCCAGTGAGCCCAGTCCTCCTGCTGCGTTTCTGCCAGACCCGCCTCACTCCCTCGCAGCCCGTGCTGCCCCCTGGGCTCTGGAAGCGGCGGTGCCTCCAGGGCTGTGGACACTCCGCCTGGTGAGACCTGAGCTCCCCCGAGGGCGGGCGGGCGGGCCGGTGGTCGGCAGGCAGGGCCCTGCCCTGGGCGCCCCTGGAGGCAGGCTGTCTGTGCAGTCACCCTGGTCTGCTGCTCCCCGGGGCTCTGCCGTGCCCTGTCCGGGCTGGACCACCTGTCCTCCAGGCCCAGGCACACCCAGAGCACCAGCACCCCAGCGGGCGCTTAGACAGCCATCGCTGCCCGGGCACCGCGCCAAGCTCTTCAGCGAGAGGCGCCCCTGATGGCTGAGGGGTTCGGCTCTGAGCCTCAGGACGGGAAGCTGCTCCGCGGGCGGCGGGTGCTGGCACATGGATGGCCGACAGGTGCCAGGCAGACCTGCCGTGTGGCGGGCACTCCAGGACCAGCTGGGCGGTGCCTTTTGAGAGCGGCACTCACCGCGGGTCCGCGAGTTAGCCTTGCAGTGGCCGGGGAGGCGCCGCCCATTTCGCGGAGGGGGAGACTGAGGCCCGTCTCTCTAGGTTGTGTGGGATGGCGGTGGTCTCAGCCTCTCCCTTCTCGGACACGCCTGGGCCCAGGCCTGCTTCCTGTTCGAGGGGAGCAGCAGCCACTGCGCCGCCTGGGCCGCCTGGCTCGGCGCGGGGACGAGGCACTGGGTTCGGCAGCAGCACTGGGCGGAGAGATGCTGCTTCCGAAGGGGCTGTTCCTGTGCGGCCCCCCCGGCCCCGCCTGCTTCCCAGCCCGGCCCAGGGCCCTCTCCGGAGGGAGCC